ATAAATCTTTTTGGTCAATTCTTTCCGAGTTCACCTTTCTGGAGTCCAATTCTGCCCAACAGAATGTGAAAAATATGATTTTTTTTTCCCACTTATGTGAATCATTTGAGAAATGTGGCGGGAGTAGAAGGACAAAAAAAAAAACTGTGGCCGAAAAATAAAAATATGTATACAATGGTCACACCTTAATCAACATTCACCTTGACGGGGCCCCAGTCTCACTACTGCTGCTCCCACCGATTGGACAAGAGAGCGGGCCTTGGGTGGTTTTGATTGGCTGCCAGCATGCAGCCTGTTGCTGGGCTGTTTCCGTGGAGATGACTATCAATGTTTTCGCCCTCCTCATCCTCCTCCTCAGTGTGAGGATTCTGCTGCTTGGTGAAAATGATGTCTGCGAGGAATTCAGGTTTCAGGGTCGCAATCGTGCACAAATTAAAGAGACAGACATCAACGAGGCCGCGAGGATTAAATATCACCATGGCAGAGATTTATCACACATATTGTGACATTTCCCAGACCTTGGACAAATGCATATCAAGAACAAATGCAATCACAAGTGAGCCATTCAGAACTAGGACGGGGTCAATCCCTTTCTTGATTTATTTTTTTATTTTGGAATTTAGTGCGGAAATTAATAGAAAAAGTCATGCCCCCACCCCAACCCCAAAGTTTAGCCTGGGTCATCATCAAAAGAATTAATAAGAGTCTTCCTCCTCCATCATCCTATCAGCTCTCTTCTTCCCCCTCCTCCACTAGTGAAGCGCTCCCTCTGCTGGCAACTGCCGGAATAACGCATTGAAGAACCTTACAATGTACTACAAGGGTGTCGAACCCATTTTCGTCGCGGGCCACATTTTAGTTACTGTTTCCCTTGGAGGGCCGTTATGGCTGCAAAACCATATAAAGAAGTCAAGAAGACTGGTTTATTCAATGATAGTTTAAGTTACTGTAATGAGGGTTTTGGTAACAAGAAAACTTACAATAGCTCTTTTATATATTACATACGAGAAATTGAAATTTTGGTGCAAATATTAGTAAGCATCATAGAAGTTGACATGTTTGATTTGCTTTCGTGGGCCACAAAAAAATTATGTGGTGGGCCAGATCTAGCCCCCGGGCCTTGAGTTTGACACAGGTGCTGTACTACATTCAAAAATCCCCAGTGTATTTTTAAGATCGCAACCCTTGTTTCAAGAATGAGGGTTGAAACCCTTACCCAAGCTAATTTGAAACCCCTCAAAAAAAATTCTTACTTGAAACCCTTTCCTTGAAACCCTAAACTGAAAGCGAAACCCTATTTTGAAACCCCAAACTTGGTCTGAAACCCTAATTTGTAACCCCAAGTCTTTTTGAAAACATGGTACTGAACGATAACCCTTGAGACATGAACCCAGCAGCCCCCGTATTGCGACAGTGCCTCTCTGGTTGGTGTCCAAGCGAGTCAGTAAAAAAATTCCTCTGTGGCCTGACTGTCCTTCACATGAATGACTCCATACAGTTTGTGTGATCAACCGCATACGAATGTTCTCATCGAGAAGCATATGCACACACAACAGAATTGTCTTTATTTCCGAATCAAGACATTGATCAAAAGTAGTCATTTACAAACGGTTTCTAAACGGCAGTGAAAATTTTGCGCAAACATCAAGTCTCATAAGAAAAGTCTGAAAGTGAGTAAACTGTGAAAATTGAGCGGGTTCAACGTTTGAAGCATTGGAACAGTATCTCGGGTTTTTTGAAGATTTAAAATTCAGTTTAAGCCTGCGCTAATTGTCGCTAGCCTAGCCGTTTAGCATTTTATTTTAGCATTAAGGTAGCAGACATTTGTTGGATGATTTGGCGTCTAAATGTGTGATGTTTAATTCTCTTTTGTTTTATGGGTGAATTTTACAGTGTAAACGTCAAGTGGGGATGATAAATAAAAAAGCTTGACAGTTGTAGTGCAACACAACACAGTGGCAACAAGCGCTAAGGAATACTTTAAAACATTTTATCATCAGTTTTATAATATTTGAACCATGTGGAGATGTTTCATATGATCTCTATATCAGAGATTTTCACCGAATGGTCCTGGAATGTATCCCTGCAATAAACCGGTTCACCGTATGTGTGCTTGTTAATTTTAAAAAATATATAAATACTCCTTACCACTAACAATGCAAAAAAAAAAAAAAAAAAAAAAAAAAAAAAAAAAAAAAAAAACCTCCCCGACAAGCCATTACCCTGATCCTCCGACACCCTTAATCCTCACAAACACTTTCGACTTCCTCTCACACTCGTCCACATTTCCAATCTGGTCTTCAGATGACGCCGTGCCGGTCCACCTGCATCCTGGCCACCATCTGTACGGTGCTGTAGAGACTCACGCAGGAGCCGGTCGCCGCCAAGGTTCCGGCCAAGGGGTTGACCAGGTTTCTTGGAGGCTGCATGCGAGCCTCGCCAGACACCTGCCGCTGCAGACAAGACAGGATAGAACAACAGCAACACATGACGTCACACAAACGATATAATACAACTCACAGGCGCATATTATTTATCCTCTGTGAAGATCAACTCAAGAGGGAGCCCTCATACCTTGGACTTAAAAAATATTTAAAAGCTGAACATTCTCTGAATTATTTATTTGTTTTGAGAGCTATTCTTAACTTCCTGCTGCCTTGAGGGGCTTACATAACTAAACTGCTCCAGAGGAGCACATATTTAGTTGGGACGTAAATCTCGTCTTCATAGGAGCCGAAAGAACATTTTAAAAGAACGTTTAAAGGTTGCAAAGAGGCAATAAAGGAAGGGATGCACCAACCTGGAGGAGGCGGAAGTAACCTGGAGTCAGTCTTCCCAGTCTGATGATCATTCCCGCTGCTGCACGCCTTCCTGCGGGAGAAGACGACGAACCATTTAAAATGAACAGAAACCGCCAAGAGGGGTGACAATATACATGGCAACTTTTCAACATCCATACAAATTCATGCACTTTTTGACTCCTTCCATTTTGACAAAAGCCACTTTAATTTTTGACTTGATACAAAGTTTAGGCCACTTCAAAAGAGTCAAAATTATACCTTCTAGCCAGTTGCAGAACCTCCACGGTAGATCCAGTCTGCGAGCTCGCCCCCGGACCATCAAAAAGTGGCTGCAGCCTGAAGGAGGCTTTTATACTGCGACCCGTCTTGTCTCGCATGGATGCACGCTTGAAGGAACATTTGTGCTAATGCACTGCGGTGACTTATGTAAGCCGGCGCCATTCCCATTTCCCTTGAAAGCCCCACAACAAGTATCCTAATGGCACCCCGAGAGCATCAAAGAGGTGACAATGCTGCACTATGGAGGCTTTTGGACATTTTTATTGAGAATGAGGGCAGCTTGGAGTGTGATGGAACAAATAAATGGAGCCTGACTTTTGGTATATGACTAGTGGGATTAATAATCACAATGCTACAAGGTTCCTGCGTCATTGTTTTGGTTGTATTATTTTTCATTCAATGTCGGGATTCTTTTGGGTACCACTAGAGGGAGCTTCTGTACCATTAGTTGTACAATCATACCTCAGTTTTCGACCATAATCCGTTCCAGAAGGCTGTTCGAAAACCTATTTGTTTGAAAACCGGAAACCGAAACCACGCTCTTTAAAAAAAAAAAAAAAGAATCTTTATTGAACAGTCTGTTCACCATGGAACGCTAAAAACGAGGAAGCGTCACTTCCTCATCTACCCAAGGAAGCGTCACTTCCTCGGGTAAGGAAGGCGAGAGGAGTCAAGTGACGCATTCAAGTGCGCTCAGTTTGTTTGAGAACCGAAATTCGGTCGTCCGAGGCATAAAAAAAACTCGAAATTTTTGGTCGAAAACCTATTTGGTCGAGAACAGAGACGTTCGAAAACCGAGGTTTGACTGTACTCGTATCCCAATTGGAGAATCACTGGTCATAATAACTAAAGTTGGTTTGTTCATCTTTTTAGTCTGACTTTGAGACATACAGCCGCTCAGGAGATGAAAAATATGCACAGTTGCTTCTCTTTAATGCGATAGCGTACTACTCGAGGGAGCTTCTGTACCATTAGTTGTACTCGTATCCCAACTGGAGAATCACTGGTAATAATGACTAAAGTTGGTTCGTTCATCTTTTTAGTCTGACTTTGCGACATACAGCCGCTCAGGAGATTAAAAATATGCACAGTTGCTTCTCTTTAATGCGATAGATCGGGCCAAGGTAGGGTGTGTTGAGGAATTTAACCTTACTATGAGTACTATTGGTACCAGTCTCTCACCTGAACATCTGTTTAAACTCTTAAAACAAAGGATGTAGTGTTAAGTTTATATCTTCTTCCCCCTTGAGTGTTTAACAGCCTCCAAGTGTCGTTAACAGCCCCCAAATGTCTTCTTTTGCGTCCGCCACCTCGGGAGAGTCCTTGAAGGCCGTCAAGTTCCCCTGAGGAGGAACTCTTATCTCGAGATTTATGCACAGCGGGAGAGGTCTGGATCGAATCGCATCAACCTTTCTTTCAGATTTTTACTTAAGGGGCAGAACTGCCCGCCTCTCATTAACATATTATCCCTCTATAAACGTGAAGACTGTATTTTTCCTGGGCTCCCTGATAAAATCTGAAACTCCCGGGAGTCCGAATCGATTTGTATTGTGATGAACTGCAGAAAAGAAAAATAAAACCTTCGAAGGTCCTGTTCATCGTCTCCAGCCTGTATTTGGATAACCAACATCCTCATCATCCGAAATTAACGAACACGCGCAGGAAGAGAAAGGCCGACTCACCCCCCCAACAGGTGCTACTTCTTTCATTTGAATCCGTTGGAAAATTCTGAATTTCAGGTGACTTTGCAGCATTTCTTTATTCATTTAGCAATCTTGTCATGGAAACGCTTTTGTAATTCTTCAAAAAGTAGGAATTTTTGCAATGCTGAACAGTGAGATTGTTTTGAATAGGTAGATAAATGCTGATTAGGAGGTCAATTTTAAATTGCATCCATTCATTTGAAAATGAATGGACAGCAAACAGATTGATAAAAAGAGCTCAGTCTCTACTGCATGTGAATAACATGGTCGTGATCAATTTTTGCCATGGACCGTCTTGAAGTAGTGCTGCTCCCGCGAGGCGAGCAAGGCTTCCTCGTGTGCTGCCGCCATCACGGGAGTTTGGACCACCTTCAGGTTCACGCCGCCACGAGCGTCGCTATCCGGGTCCACCATCAGCTTCCCGATAAAAACCTGCAACAAACAACAACAAAAAGAATGAGAAAAAATATCCTGAGGAATACCGTCGTTTAGCATTGTTTGCATGCTGCCAGACCTCTTCGTGGTGCTGTCCTACGTCCTCTTGCGCTGTTTCTGTCCTTATGGACTCAATGTGCTTCTCCCTCTTTTCTTTGATTCCCTGCAAGAGAGAAAAACAAAACTTTGTCGAGGAAAAGCCTTTCTTCGTGGGACAAAGAAATGGTGAAGGACAAAAACAAACCTTGAGGATGTTATAGTTAGACGTCTTGGAGACAAAATTGCTCCATGACTTGGCTGTGAGCTGACGTTGTTTCCAGTGAGACTTCATCTGCAATCAAATGGACCAAAGGTAAAACATCACCAAGGTCAACCAAATCTGGCAAAATACGCTTGTTCTCTGACAGACATCATAAGAATAGGACTAAGAAAACCTTTATTCGTCTCACAATGGAAAAATTTCAAATCTGGCAAAATATGCTTGTTCTCTGACAGCCATCATAAGAATAAGAATAAGAAAACCTTTATTCGTCTCACAATGGAAAAATTCCCAATTTACAGCAGCAAAGTTATGAAAGAAAGTACAGTGAAACTCCTCTACAACGAAACCTACATGGGCGAAGATACCCCCTAGTGTGAAAAAATCTTCATGCATTAACACCATTCCCACTTTCCTGCCCCCCATACAATGAAAAAAAACCCTGTTGCGTTATAATAAATCTTTTTCTCTGCATTTGCCTCGCGACGAGATTCACTACGACGAAGTCTAATCCAACCGCGACCTCTACTGCTTCATTCAGAAACGGCAACAGCAACCACCACACTGGTTTACACATGCGCAGTAGTCCAGGAAGTATTTGTTATTGTTAGTTTCAGATGCAGCAAAAACTTTGCATTGCTAAAATTGCTCCAAAACGGACCTTTGAACGTCAAGCAGCTAAGACAAGAAGAGCTCTGACGCTGGAAGAGAGGGTAAACGTGATCAAAATGAAAGACGGAGGAAGCAAAATAAAAGACATTATCCAAGAAATTGATGTCAGTGAAAGTGAATGCTGATCGTAAATTTCGCAATTTCTTTCCCTTTTTTTCTTTATACACTGGCTATATGAAGTGTCATTAAGTGTATGCTCATACTTATGCACTATTGGAATAAAAATAAAGAGTACACATACGTTTGTGTGTGCGTGTACACACACACACGCGTGTGTGTGTGTGTGTGTGTGTGTGTGTGTCTGTGTGTGTGTGTGTGTGTTTACATCTGAGATCAAATTTGCTACAGTGAAAAACCCCCTGTTGTGAAAAATGTCTTACTGCAAACATGATTTCGTTGTAGAGTTTCACTGGAGAAAGAACAAAAAGTATAGGAGCTGCTGTAAAGGCAGCCACTCTCGCGGTGCCATCTTGAAGCCATAACAAAAAGAAATAAGATAAAAAATTAGACATCATTAAATAGAATGTAAATGATTAAACAATTTTTTTTCCATTTTTAATTCAATGGACATTGTGCTGCTCCTTCAGTCCCGCATGCCTTGGCCATCTGGGAGCAGTATAGTACATACAATAATGGCCACAACTCAGTAAGCTGGAGTAATCTTTGTCATTCATTGCCTTTGATGCTGAATGTTCTCACCTCTTCATACATAAGTTGTTCTTCCCTGTTGGCCTCCTCGACATGTTGCCGCAAGACTTCCTCCTGCTCGGCCACCACCGCCTCGGCCATGCGCTGCGACATCTGCTGGGCAGAACGCAGAGTCTCTTGGTCCGGCGTGACGGGGCGGATGCCCTCCCGGATCAGCTCACGGCTGATCTCGTCCCACACCTCGCTCACCTGTGTGACATCACACTTTGACATCATGCTTCAGCCACATTAAATAGCGCAGGCAAAAGAGTCGTCTGTCTAAGATATCTGATTCCAATTGTGTCTCAGTATGGAAAATTTTCAGTTCGGAGGAGAAGCTCTGCAATTCACACAAAAATAAAATGGCCGATTCCTGTTCATTTTCAAGCATGGATCATTTTTGTGTATCCTGTTCCAATAGCCCACCCATTTTTTTGTGAATCAGAAAAACTGGTACAGATCATTTCAGGAAGCCCTATAAGTGAGTTTTAGGGTGTCCTGTTTGGAACCACCACAATTCAAAAAATGTCACCAGCTCCATGGTTTTGCCAAAAATCATGCATTTTCAAGCTTGTTGAGGCCCACAAAAAGCTGAGTCGTTTGTCAGAAGAATAACTCAATTATTTCAAAAGAGAATAATACAAAGTAACATTGATGATAAAACACCTGCTATTTTGTTCTTACCTTGAAATCAAGGTACCTTTTGACGATACTCAAGGTCACTCTGTCTTTTACGGACAATCCTGGAAGATCCTCGAAACCTGCACAAGATCAAGGATCAGTTATGTGGACAATGAGGGTTGCGGATACGCTCGAGCCTATCACATCTGACTGGTCGCCAGCCTCATTTTGTATTTGCGTGTTTGATTCTCTGTCCCGATCAATAAACAACTCTAAGTGCATTTGCATTCTGTTTACCAATTCTGCAGAAGATCAAATAAATCTTGGCTATCAGGTTCTCTTGCATCTCTAATACGGCGGCGCTCGCCGTGTCCAGAGTCGACATCAGCGCTGCGTCATCCACCTTACGATGTGCCAGGACAGGCTCCTTTGGATCTGTGTGTAGGTAAGAGAAAATTTGTCACGGGTTTGGTTGTCCATTTGGAGTCACCGACTCAAACAAACCTGCGATCCCGCCGTGTTGGTTCCGGCTGACTCCCAGCTCCTCTTCTTCCCGCCGCCACACTTGCAGCAGGAGACTCGGAGCCGTCCAGCCATCGCTGTCGCTCCAGCTCAGGATGTGAGGAATTGTGCTTAGGTTGTCACACAGCTCCAAAAGAGTGGCCAGGATCACGCCGTGAACGCACTTGGGACTCGACTGAAGGAAAAATGAAAGCAGAAGTTAAAAATGTCTCCCCTACGAAGGGATTTCTGGACCCCAAAAGTTTTAAGAATCTCTGCAGTCAAGACCCCCACCAAGACTCTTCCAGGGAGGGTTTGAGTTACTTACACTGAGTAGGTCCAGTAAAACCAGCACGCCATCTCGGGTTAGGAAGCAATCCTCTGTCGTGTAACAGCCCACAATGCAGGTGCTAACAATGGAACCACAAATGAACCATTTCCATTTAAGTCATTTTCAGTCAATCTTCGCCCTTAACTCCCTCACCCAAACCTAACCCGAGACCCTACCTCCCAATCCCAAACTCGAGACGTCGGAACCCTAATTCCAATGACACAAACATTTCCTCAAGCGTGAGCGCTAGTCACAGTCAGCAGCAGAGTGAGAACCATTAGCTTAACCCTTTCATTCCACAAGATGTACTTGTACGTCTTTTTAAAATTAGGCCCCGCCTACCAAGGACGTATATCTAAGTCTTTTTTTTGCATCATAGAGAGGAGGAGGGTCTGATGCAATCTGTGAATGAGAATAAGCCGTTTGAATTGTAAATAATGTAAAAAAGTGACCAGTAGGTGGCAGTGGTGGCTCACGTGCTTGAAATGCATGCTTTTACAAAAAACTCTTTTTCTCCGTTTTTTGCCCAGGAATCGCCATTTTCATTAAACGTAGCCATTTTGTAATGCCGATTGCTGAAGAATGGAAAAAGATAGAACCAATTTTTTTTCTGCTGAAGGAAGAGAGTCCAAACTTTATTTTTTCCATGTTTATATAGCATTAGAACCAAATATTCTGTGGGCCTTGCAAGATCAGTCAAAATCCAGTAAAACGCTGGGATTGAGGGGGTTGCTCCAGTGAAAATGGCTGAGATTGAATGAGTTAAGCTGCACTGACCGCACGCACGCCAAGGTTGACAGGAGAAGCTTGTTGTGTCCTAGGCCACTGTAGAACATGCTGGCGCCTCTCCTCAGGTAATGGACCGTCATCTCCACGCCCTCGGTCCCAAACAGCTCCTGCCGTGCGACCGCAGGCGTGTCAGAAATATCTTTTCTGGATGATCAATCAACTTGTCCCAATTACCTTTCTGTGCATATCACTCTCACACAGAGCTGAGAGGATGATCTGCATGTCTGACTTCATCTCCACGGTAACCGCATCCTCATCGCTGGCAGTCGACTCCATCTGCATTAGAAGCCCTGAGAAGTTGATGCGTGCGATGGAGAACATTGTGAGGTGAGGGGTTATATGGAACTGAACTGCACTGGTCATAACCAATAACCCGAACACCTGCTCACCCAAATTCCAAACTCTTATCTCAACTTTACTAAACTGACCTAGAAGCATGTGTATGGTCCCCTGGTCGCACAGGTCCTGGTTGAGGGTCTTGTCATCCAGGGAGGTGACTGATCTCATCAGTCTGATGCAGTAACGCATGTGAGCCTTTTTGCTCCCTCGGCCGCCGGTGGCGTGGAAGCTGTGCCCTTGTCCACAGTAGCCGTCTGGAATCAGTCAAGAGCTGTGAGTCGAGTGCCCCATCACTGCTTCACTCACTCTTACCATGACTATGGTGTCTCACCTTGCCTGACGCACCAGTCCAGCAGGTGCAGCAGGGCCACATTGCCATAGCAGGACATGTAGTGGTCCAGTATCAGCGGGGCTACGGTAGCGAGGACTGCAAGAGCCTGCAGCTGGAGCTCCTCCAGCTGGATGGACGACCAGTCACGAGACCCCGGCTTCACCTCGGAGGGGGTGGCGGGAGGCTTGGCCAGGGTCAGCAGAGCCAGTATCACTTGTTCCTCTTTGAAGATCTGCACCACAAAAAGGATAAGATCAATATCACGTCAATATCTACCTCGATGTGCAGAACCAGGAGCATCCACCGGGATGGTTGCAGGATCTCTGGACATCACAACCAGCAGATTTAACAGCAGCTTCTTCATTTGCAGGTCTTCCATGTTGTACGTCAGCTTCAGCTTGCCCACCAAATTATGGTGACTCTTCACTGAAACGGAAGCGCGGGAGAAAACGTGGCCGTCAAATCCAAACCAAAACACCAGAGACGGAGAGGAATTTTGCCTTACGCTCGGGAAACGTGCTGAGTGCAACAAGCTGCTTGGCGAATAAGCTCTCCTAAAAAAATGAGAGAATTATTTGTCTCAACCAAAGCAATAATGCCATTGCTTGAACAGCTGAGTGTCCTTCCCATAGATGCTTCTGGGTGATGTCTGATGAATCGTACCTTAGCCATCAGTCCCGAACCCTGAACCCAGCTCATCTTAACACGGAACTTTTTCCTCAGCAAACCTAATTCCACTAAGCCTAAACCTCATCCTAACTCAGAGAACGACTGGCCTAGAAGACATCACTCACAATGAGCAGAGCGCAGGAGTTCTCAGCAAAGAGGGTGGTGAGAACCAGCAGATCATTGCGGACTTGGAGGTCAGCGTGTCGGGAAGTGTTCAGCAGGGCGTGAGTAAAGGCTTCTTTTAGAGATCTACAGGACAGAAAGCGATACAGTCAGAGTTTTTCAAAAACAGCTTTTCTTCGTTCAAGTTAAGTCAAGTCAATAAGACAATTAAGGATTGAGACACATTTGGCGAAGGAAAAAACCCTCTAAGGAAGAAACATTGAATAGAACCCAGGCTCTTTCGGTCAATTTTGTGCCTCTGCTGGCTGGGTTTGGATGGAGAGAGTGTCCAGAAAAACTAGAGTACAGAAAACAGGATAGTGGGGTTGAGCGATTGAGGGAGGGGTGAGAGAACAATGGGCACAACAACAGCAGTCTCATACGTGTCGGGAAGTGTTCAGCAGGGCGTGAGAAAAGGCTTCTTTTAGAGATCTACAGTGAGAGAACAATGGGCACAACAACAGCAGTCTCATGAACAAGGTTGGTGGTGTTAGTGGGGTTCGGGTTTGTGTTTGAGAGATGGGGAAGCGGTTTTAGTGCTTTAGTGGGCTTCTTGGAGTTGGGACTTAGGGATCTGACATACATGGCACATTCCACGCTGCTGAGCTGGGCGGCCACTGTAGCCTTGTTGCCACTCTCCAGAAGGTTCCAGAGAATTTCCGAGGAGTGAAACAGGATCATTCCGGATGGGTCTGGCTCATTCATGCGCAGACAGATGCTCTCAGCCCCTCGCACACTGAGCATTAAAGTGCAGTTCATATCTAGGGATGGACAAAGGATAAGATTTGTAACCTACAGTAGGTAGAAAAAGTATAAATACAGAGAAACTCCTCTACAACGAAACCTACATGGGCAAAAATACCCCTCCTGTGAAAAAAATTTAATGCATGAAAGCCATTCCCACTTTTCTGTTCCCCCTACAACGAAAAGTCCCCCTGTTCCGTTATACGAAACCTTTTTCTGCTCTTGCCTCGCAACGAGATTCACGACAACGAAAACAAGCCTTCCGCAAAGGTCTCATCCAAACTCAGCATGCCACAGTGACCTTTACTGCTTTGTTTGGAAACGGCAACAGCAACCGCCATGCTGGTTTACACATGCGTATTTGTTTCAGATGCAGCACGAACGTTGCATTGCTAAAATGGCGACAAAACGGACCTTTGCATCCCAAGGAGTTAAGAAAAGAAAAGTATTAATGCTTAAAGACAGGATAAACGTAAGAAAAATGAAAGATGGAGGAAGCAAAATAAAAGACACTATGCAAGAAATTGATGTAAGTGAAAGTAAATGCTGGTCGTAAATTTCGCAATTTCTTTCCCTTTTTTTCTTTCTACGCTGGCTATATGAAGTGTCAAATAAGTGAATGCTCATACTTATGCACTATTGGAATAAAATAAAAAGGACAAATATACGTTTTTTTGTGTGTGTTCATGTTTACGTCTGAGATCAAATTTGCTACAGTGAAAAGTCCCCTGTTGTGAAAAATTTCTTGCTGCAAACATGATTTCGTTGCAGAGGAGTTTCACTGTATATCACAACATCTGGCATTCGAATAGGGGTGTGTTGACTTTTTATATCCACTTCATGCTAATCAGCATATCGACCTGCTGACTTTGCCGCAAGGACGGACCCTTGTGTTGATAATGAAGGCGCTCGAGTAAAAACAAAGGAGCTTCAGTAACTCCCTGCCCCCTCCACCCCCGGGAACTGACCAGATGTGCTGGAGAGCATCTGAAGTGTTTGCAGGAGCAACAGCTTGATGGCGGGCTGCTTCTCCAGCGCCGCTATGGACAGGAACAGCGTCTTGGCCAGATCGCTGCGCTCCAGAAGCTGAAGTCTGTAGCCGGGGGACGTCGGTTGAGGCTCTGTGAGCATCAACACTCGTCAATGCAGATCCCAACGACGCTCCGAATTAGGCCAAAACACACCGTGAAATAACTAGGACACAAAATTAGGTACAGCATCCAATACTAACCGGTACACAAATTCAGTGTTTTAATAAAAGATACCAACTAGAATACTCTACTAGATTGTTTAAGTATTCCTAATGTTGTGTCCACCCCACTTTACATATTTACAAAACAATACTCAACTTCCAAATGGCAAATACTTGATATTGTATGTAGATGGGACACGATGGCTTAGCGAGTCGGATCGTACCGTCGAGCGGCGGTTTGCTGGGAGCCGAACAGCTGTAGTAAGACTTGACCGACTCCACTACCTGACGCCTCACTTCGCCGTCTGACACCCTCATCAGGTAGCCTACACGCACGCACATACACTACAGTTAAATTCATTTGGCGCACCATAGAATTGAATGCAAGTGTGGTCAAAGTATGGCCAAGGGGCCCCATGTGAGGATTCATGTTATCAAGTTATATTTTGTAGCAATGATAAATCCAAAATAAAATAAGATATGAACCATTTAAATTTTAGGAAAAAAGGGCAACATTTGTCCTAAAATTATCCCACTCTGCAGAAACTTGCAATTATTAATACATAAAAAATATGTAAAATTGTTCTGCCATTATATCATTATCATCTGAATCATGTGCTCTTTCATTGGATCTTTTTTGACGGTTTAAAAGATACCAACTAGAATACTCTACTAGATTGTTTAAGTGTTCCTAATGTTGTGTCCTTCCCACTTTACATATTAACAAAACAATACTCAACTTCCAAATTGCAAATACTTGATATTGTATGTAGATGGGAAAAGAAAAACAATGAAGATGAGGGGCAAGATGACAAGCGGAAGAAAAAGGGAAGATGAGAAGCTGACTTAGCATAAGCTGGTGTCGGTAGCGGAGACTTTGACACGATAGCTTAGCGAGCCGGATCCTACCGTCGAGTGGGGGTTTGCTGGGAGCCGAACAGCTGTAGTAAGACTTGACCGACTCCACTACCTGACGCCTCACTTCGCCGTCTGACACCCTCATCAGGTAGCCTACACGCACGCACATACACTACAGTTAAATTCATTTGGCGCACCATAGAATTGAATGCAAGCGTGGTCAAAGTATGGCCAAGGGGCCCCATGTGAGGATTCATGTTATCAAGTTATATTTTGTAGCAATGATAAATCCAAAATAAAATAAGATATGAATCATTTAAATTTTAGGAAAAAAGGGCAACATTTGTCCTAAAATTATCCCACTCTGCAGAAACTTGCAATTATTAATACATAAAAAATATGTAAAATTGTTCTGCCATTATATCATTATCATCTGAATAATCTGCTCTTTCATTGGATCTTTTTTGACGGTTTACCGAACAAAGTGCCATGTGAGTACATGATGATGTTTGTGCTCTATACCTATGCGAGAGAGAAACTGCTTGACATCTTCAGCGTAGTTGAGCTCATCTGAAACTTTTTCCTTCAGGAAGGGAAGCCTTACAAGGACGAACATTTTGTCATATTCAAGAAACAACATTTCATATCAAAACAGCAGGAATGCGAGCTACCTGCAAATGTTCAGAGCCTCACACAAAATGCTGCAATATTCCGGTTGCTTGTCAGCCTTTTCGCCGCAGACTTTGAGGATCCGCGAGATGCTCGCCAGCTCCCTCAGCAGCTTGATAATGTCAAGGAAAAGACGTTTCTCTGGCGGGGCAAAATAAATGCTGACAGTGGTCGAGTGGCGATAAGTGAGCACCTGGGGACTTTCTGTGAATTTATTTCCATCTCTGCATACACCTGGGGAGCAGTCAGGAGGAAATGTTGACATGAGAAAGGATACAAAGCCCTGTTGTTTCCTCTTGAGCAGCTTCTTCAACACAAAAATGTGCCTCTCCTGCATGTGAGTCTAAAAAAAAAAAAGAGTGTAATGATGTGAAGGAAAAAAAAGTTGGCAAATGCTTGAACGTAATATTTTTCAGTTTGACATGAGTCTGGTGTACTGTCCAGCAAAAGACCTGTCTATTGATGTAATTCTGTTATCGGCGGGATGGGGCGCCCCACCTCCCACCCCTTTGCACGCCACTGCAAATGAATGCGCGGATGATTTACCGTCAGGGGGTCTTCAAGCAGGCTAATCACTTTGGCAAGGTTGAGACTTCTCGGACAGACCTGACAAAAACATAAGAACAGGATGTTCGAGAAAATGTTACCATTACTTACTTGCATTGGTGTAGAAATATATGACATCACACTGTTATGACAGAGGTCATATGTAGTGCAGTTGTACTCCAAACACAAAACCTGAGTCACCTGCTCGACATGGTCTGGTGTTCTCGGCCGGACAACAGCTAGATCGGCTTTCCTTCTGTGCACAACTTTACATGAATCCATTTTTGATTCGTAACAAAACAAAACTTGAAGCATTAGCAGATTTGGACTCGTGTAAACAGACTGACTTGTTTACACGAGTCAACGATTCACTCAAAACGACGACAAAAATGTGTCAAAACACAGCGAAATGGGGCAGGCGGCCACAAATTTATGTAATTATCCATCTAATGGGAAATTTTACATATATAAAAAACAACAACAACAACCGCGATGACGAACTTTAATATCATCTATGATCACGTAAACATCACGTTGCTGTCACAACGCTGCCAGATGATAATGGTGTGTTCTTGTTCCCGGGGAAATCGGAAATTCGGTATTCACATCGAAAAAAAGGCAACTGGACATTGAAACCAACACGGAAAATCTTTTATTTTAAATTATATCTCGAACTAATTACTGCCTGTTTGGAGTACGTCAACTGTGTTATATATTGGCTATAGCACAAAATGTATTTTAATAACTGTATGGTGTTTCAAGCGAATTAACATATGATACTACCGTTATTTTGTGTGGAAAAAAACTCCAGGCTAAGGCCTCCTAATATTTTTGTGACGCAAAACGAGTTTTGTTCTTTCGACAGACGTGAAACTGACGTCTTAGCCGCCGAAGTTTTCAAATTTCCAAGGACTTTAAAGAGCACGCTGTAAGAAGTTTGATTTGCAGTTACCATAGTGACAGACAGCCGCTACGGCGAGAGAGGGGAACTAAAAGTCTCGTGGAAGGAAAACGCCCATTTCCTCCCTGAACCGGTAGTGGTAATCCCGCACCAACCAACGACCTGTTTATTCCTCACCACAACAATAAACGGCGACGAGTGGATATTTTCGAATGTTTGCAAAATAATTCAAATAAACTAAATCCAAATCTGGACTCCGAATCCAAGGACATGCTGTCGGACGCAGGTCAGTGAAGCATGCCAATAGCTAGTGCTGTTAGCCACGTGCTAAACGTGGCACGCTAACACAACATGGCCGATTTAAAGAGCTCCTTGTGTGTTTTTGTCACGTTTAAGACTCTAAACTCATCTTTGTGTTGTTCACTCGCCAGCATTTGTGTTCAACACCGCGTTGTCTGTTAGCACCCCGACAAAAAGCCGGGGTGGACCACCGCTTTGTCCCAATATGTCATGTCACACATCACCGGTGGTGGGGCTTGTTGTTCATCAGACTACCCCGGGAACGGCTCCGGCGCCCGGCGAGCCAAGAGGAGGAGCTCCGGGGAATCTCCGGGCGACGGCCAGGCCCTACGATCCTCTGGGAGGCAGTCCAACGTCCGGGTAAAGCGGGCCAACAACCCCCCACCTGGACAGGTACTGTCATTTGTAACCCCCCCCTCTGATTGCTCTAGGTCAAGTTCTATTAAATAGTATTGTCTTGTAAAACATCATGCCATTCCATTTGATCAAATGAAACGGGGAGACGCTTCAGGAGAAGTGGTTCACCTCAGATCTTGTCCCAGTGGGTCGATGCAGAATCCTTACAGCAACAGCCTCACATCAAATCACTGCCACGTAGAGGAGAGGAGGTGAAAAGTGGCAGTAAAATAGTCCAGATGTCATGGGTGTGAGGGAGAGCAAGAGACTAGTTGCAGGCAGCACGGTGGACAAGTGGTCAGCTGGCGAAGAAGCGTTACAGAAACGGCATCACTTCGATCATCACCGCCTCACTTATGTTATACATCTTTGATGCATCTCCATCACTGGATCGTGCGGACGTGTGTTTCCTTGAACTAACAAAAAAGATGGCTTTGTGTCTTTTCAGAGCAAAAGGAAAGCTACAGACACGGAAGAGGAAGATGACCAGTCAGAGAAGAAATACAGGAAGTGTGAGAAGGCGGGCTGTTCGGCCACGTATCCCGTCTGTTTTGCAAGCGCTTCTGAAAGGTGGGGACCAATATGATGCATTTTATTCCCCACAATTTAAGCATTGTTTCATCAAAACACACCAAAAATAGAGGACCCTTTACATTCAAAAATAAAAAAATACTGTACAGTGCAGAGTAGTTTTACGCAAAATGAATTATACTCTTATCTCAAGCTACAACTGTATTTGTTTACCCACTCCTGCCCAGTCAATTTTCAATTATAGTTTTTTTTTTCTCTTTACTCAGATGTGCTAAAAACGGATACACGTCCCGCTGGTACCATCTGTCGTGCGGCGAGCACTTTTGCAATGAGTGCTTCGATCACTATTACAGAAGGTAAAACCGCATTCTACATTATTAAATTTGTGCCTGTCATCGTTGGTAATTGTGTCTTTTTTTTCCAGTCATAAAGACGGCTATGAGATATTTTCCGCCTGGAAAAAAGCATGGACAAGTAACGGCAAAAGCGAGCCCAGTCTCAAAGCCTTCATGGCAGATCAGCAGCTTCCCTACTGGGTAACAACTTGTCGCGAACAACTACGTCATCGCCGCTCCTGTCACTGACGCCGGAATGTTCTTTCATGTGTGTCGTTTAGGTGCAGTGCACCAAACCCGACTGTCGGAAATGGCGTCAGCTGACCAAGGAGATCCAGCTGACCCCCTCGTTGGCAGCCACATACCGTTGTGGGATGAAGTTCAACAATGTCAAGGTAAAACCGGAAGCTAGAAGTCATATGTAATGGAGAACCAATCATAAATGTGTTGTGACATGCGTCTTGTTTGTGAACAGAACGAAGGGCCGGACCAGTGCTCCCTGCCAGAAGACCTGGTAAATTAACAATACATGGCTGTCATCCTTCATTTTTAGCCATGTTGCCTTTTTGAGTCATGTGGTTAGCATCACATCACGTCACCCTTGATGACGAGGGTCTTACCCGTCCCCGCGGTTCACAATTCACCAAATAACGCCAGTGCTTGTTTCCATTTGTGCCAGAGAGTGGCGGAGGTGACGGACAGCTGGTGGCACTCGATGCTCATTTTGCCGCCGTTGTTCAAAGACAGCCCGGCCACGCCTTTCCTGGCCGCCTACTATCCCGACTGCGTGGGCATGAGTCCGTCCTCCTCTCCCGGCGGGGCGTCGCTGAGCGAGCTGAGGGCCGACCACTGCAGAGCCGTCCAGCCCCAAAGTACGGGCGTGTGAATCTCTTCGTCGTCATCATGAGCTTCCTGGAAGTCCTCATCATTGACATTGCGACTCTGCTCAGTCGCAGGCTTGTGTCCGTACTTCCAGCCCTTCTACCAACCCAACGAATGCGGCAAGGCTCTGTGCGTCAGGCCCGACATGATGGAACTGGACGAACTTTATGAATTCCCGGAATTCTCCCGCGACCCCACCATGTATTTGGCGCTGCGCAATCTCATTTTAGCCTCCTGGCACAAAAACTGCAAGGTATCAACATTTTTGCTGACACAAAATTATGTGCAGTGCACGAACAAGATTTTGGGAAGAATTGTTTGTTTAAAAAATACTTTAAAAGATGTTAATCATAGGTATGGAGTATTTTTTTTCCTAGATTGAAAACCAATTCAACTTGGGAGCTGACTTCTTTTCTCTTGGCAGCTGATTCCATTTGTTTCCAGCATAACCGCTAAATGCCGCTTCACCGTGTTTGTTTTGAACACTTTCGAACCTTCACCTTAAATATGTTTGTCTGTCTATCATATCGCAATGAATTGTAACCAATAATGAGTAAAACAACAACTCTATTGTTTGTTCTCCCCTACCCAAGGAGGTTCTGACTGTCCAGAAGTGCATCATGCACGTGGTGGTGCGCGGGCTGGTGCGTGTACGATGCGTGCAGGAAATGGAGCGTGTGCTCCATTTCATGACCAGGAAAGGCCTCATCAACACGGGGGTGCTGGCGGTCCAGCGGCCCCTGCTGCCCGAGAAGCATCGCGCGGTGAGTGTCGGCCCTGCGAAAGAAAATTACCTCAACAATAAGACGTGACTATGATTTTAGTGATGTGATTCTTGCAGAAGAACGTCATAGTGATCGGCGCGGGGGCCTCGGGGCTCGCCGCTGCACGCCAGCTGCAGAACTTTGGCACTCAGGTTTGCAACGTCAGGGTTGAACTGTAATGTGTACTTATGGTGACTTCGTATGTCTGGTTGAAGCGAAAGATTATTATTTCTTATGGAGGAAAAGTCATGAGATTTTAGACGGATGATGTCGCACCTTAAATGTTCCACTGGACTTGCTCCAGGTGCTGGTGTTGGAGGCTCGCGAGAGGATCGGCGGTCGCGTGTGGGACGACATGGCCTTGGGCGTCATCATGGGTCGGGGAGCTCAGATCGTCAACGGCTGCGTGAACAACCCGGTCGCCCTGATGTGTGAGCAGGTGAAATTTCCCAAACACATGTGGGGAAATTTGTTATGTCCACATGTGCACACTTGTATCACCACATTATTGCAGTTATTTCTTTTCATTTCTCTCTCCAAAAGATAAAAAGAAAAGTTGAATTGTGTTTTACGAGTGATAGGTTATATTAATGTTGGAAAAAGGTTTGAAATGATTTCACTTGTTCACTTGTTTATTGTATCATAAAAAAATGTCCATTTAAAAAATGAAATGTGGCACTTGAGCACTAACGTTTGCCCATCCCTGATCTAAGCTGACATCACGCTGTACGTCCACAGATGGGCGTTCGCATGCACAAACTGGGAGAGCGCTGTGACCTGTTTCAGGAGGGCGGGCAGGCCACTGACCCCGCCATTGACAAGCGCATGGAATTCCACTTTAACGCCATTCTGGACGTGGTGTCGGAGTGGAGGAAGGACAAGTCGCAGAGCCAGGACACGCCGCTTGGAGGTTCTTTATCTCTTACAAGATACCAGAAAACATATGGAGAGAAACTGAAATTTTTGGTTTTGTTGGACAGAAAAGGTGCAGGAGCTTAAAAAGAACTTTCTTCAGGAGTCCGGCATCCAGTTCAGTGAGTTGGAGGAAAAAGTGCTTCAGTTTCATCTCAGCAACCTGGAGTACGCCTGTGGCAGCTCTTTAAACCAGGTCAGACTCCTCCGAATTCACAGACGCGTATCAGATTCTTATCCAGCCAACAGCTTTGCTGTAAACAAGATCGATGGTTGATGAATGAATAGTTTTGATAGTCTAGACTGGTTTAGAAACTACTCAGCAGACAGAGCTTTTTGTGTTCCCTTTAGTTGCTCCAAGTCCAGCTCTGTTCCACTGTCGCATGGTGTTGCACAGGGTTCAATTTTAAAGCCACTGCTGTTTTCATTGTGTTTGCTTCCCTGGTTTCCACTGTCCTGTGCAGCAGATGTTTTTATTTTTTAAAATTACTCTATAAGATTGAGTTGAGTCTTATTTGTGCGTGTAGGTTTCTGCAAGATCCTGGGACCACAACGAATTCTTTGCACAGTTCTCAGGAGACCACACGTTGCTCACCCAAGGCTACGGCACTCTGCTCCACAAACTAGCCGAGGGCCTGGACATCCGCAAAAAGTGCCCGGTGGGAAAATGTTAATCCATATTTTTGTCCTCCATTCCACTTAGGACAATCACAACCATGTTGGAAAAAGTGATTTAACCCCCCCCCCCACCCCCCCATCTATTTCAGGTGAAGACCATTGATTACTCAGGTGATGTTGTCAGAGTTACTTGCTCAAATGGCTCCCAGTGGACAGCAAAGAAGGTAAAACCAAGTTAGAAAAACCTTTTTGTTTGAGTCGCGGGCTTTTAAATGGTTTCCCTTCCTTTAGGTTCTGGTCACAGTGCCGCTGACGTTGCTGCAAAAGAATTTTATCCAGTTCGTCCCGCTGCTTCCTGAGAGGAAAGTGAAAGCCATCCACAGTTTGGGAGCAGGCATAATAGAGAAGGTACACAGTTTTATCCTTTTTGTTGACTACTTTTCGAAGTAATATGATGAATTTAACCTGTCAAACTGGACGGCAGATCGCGCTGAAGTTCCCGTACAGATTCTGGGACAACAAGATCCAAGGGGCCGACTACTTCGGTCACATCCCGCCGACTCTCGACAAGCGAGGCATGTTCACTGTCTTCTACGACATGGACCCACAGGTTTTGTATTTATTTATTTATTTTTGTCCTTCCCTCATTAAAGCTCACCCTTTACCGGTTACAAATGCATCCGTATCTGCATTTTGTGCAGGGGAAGCAGGCGGTTCTTATGTCCGTTATCGCCGGGGATGCCGTCGCCGCCGTGCGGGACATGCAGGACAAGGACATCGCGGGCGAATGCATGAAGGTGCTGCGTGAACTATTCAAGGAGCAGGTAATGATGTGGTCCTGTAAACCTATGGGACGTTTCTTACCGGAAATCTAATCATTATGCACACCGGAATTAGCCACTGAAGGGGAAAGCCAGCCTGGGATGCAAAAACATGAGCAAATAATTGTTCACCATCTTTGACAGGAAGTCCCAGAGCCCCTGCATTTCTTGGTCACACACTGGAGCAAAGACGCATGGTCGCAGATGTCCTACAGCTTTGTGAAAATGGGCGGCAGTGGCGAGGCGTACGACATTATCGCCGAGGACGTTCAGGGGAAATTGTTCTTTGCAGGCGAGGTACCAGAAGCTGCCCAAATAAAATTTTTAGGTGGTGGTTAGCAGATACATGCAAGTCTGTTCCTTTTTAATTATTTTGATGAGACTTCATTTTAATTTTTTTTTTTTTTTTTTTTGAATTCGTTTTAGTTTTCTTGAATATACGAAGCGAAGTGAATCCCCGCAGTGTCTCAAATGTGACCTATATCATGACCTTTAAAAAAAATTCTGAAGACGCATTTTTTTTTTCCTTGCTTTGTTTCCAGGCCACCAACCGGCACTTCCCTCAAACGGTGACTGGCGCCTACCTGAGCGGGGTCCGAGAGGCCAGCAAGATGGCTGCTCCCTGAGAGTTCACTGAGCGCTTCGAACTCACCAGCATGGACACACGGGTTGAAACGCACCACAAAACTGTGTCTCTCTCTCTCTCTCTCTCTCTCTCTCTCTCTCTCTCTCTCTCTCTCTCTCTCTCTCTCACACATACACACACTTACACGCCACGTGAACCACCAAGGGCTTCAGAAAAACTCTGGTGCTCAATCCCAACATGCCGTGAAAAAAGAAAAAAAAACCTGGGACCTGCTTGGCTTGGCTGGATCCCCCTGAGCATCAGACATTGCTAAACTTTGTTAACCAGCAAGGCTGACCTGAGTAGTTCTTTAAAAACTAACCTTTTTTGTTCCTCACTGTTTTATGAAGCAAGTGATGTGTTGTGATCGTGCATGTAAAAGCTTACATGTGTAGAAGTCAAGAGTACGTCTGTTGTAGCACTTTTGGGATTGGGGATGCTCATTTGAGCCAAAGCAGAGTTAGTAGTATTAGTTGATATGTTTGTAAACAATTCACATAAAGTTTGTGATATGAAGCTTTGGGGGTCACATTTCAGGAGGAAACTAAAATGCACTTTAACCGTTGCAAGTCAAACCTGACCTGAGTCTTTACAGCAGGTTACAAAGATACAGAGAGAGTGGTAGTGTCACAGAAAGGCGTAGAAGTAACTGTCATTTTATGTACTTCTTGAAATTTCACCCCAAAAAGCCAAATATGCTTTTTTTTTTTTTGTGAGTAATACAACAAACTATTTACTTTCTCAGGGATGACATCAGGACAGGCAGTACAAAAATTCACCTGATTAAAAATGAACAAAGTTACACTTAACGTTATCCGTTATGTGTTTGTCCCTCAGTGCTGATTTAAAAATGTTCAGCAGCACAAGAGCATCCTCACTGTTTCTGATGTTTGGCCGCTGTTCCCCTTGTTGTTTTCCAAATATGCGACGTTTCGAGACGATTCTGTTTGTCAGGTATTTCGGCGCTTATTATTTATCTGCGATACTGTCTGTCTAATAAACTGTGCTGCAAACTGCCGTGGCTATCTTCTTACAAAATATCCTTGGTCATGAATTTATTGATATATTCATGTGGAATAAATAAAACATTTGAAACGTACAATGCAGTCAAACAAAATGAAACTTGCAGCCATGCATACAGGCCTTTTTTTTTTTTTTTTTTTAAATCAAGTAGAGTGGTGTTTTGTTTTTCGCACAGATCAGTTGTATTTAACTTTTAAGTACAGTCCAAACCATTTGCATTTGATCATTTAGACACTTTTTAAAAGTCGTTTACCTTATCTGCAGTACAATATTTTTATGTTCACGTTTTTCCCTATTGTTTAAACTGCACAATGTTACAGTGGCTTACAATAACACAAGGTGTGTTATTGAATCGCTTATGAATTCTTTTCCAATTATTTTTCCAATATAAAATATGTGCCTGGTTTTAATAAAGGTTGGGGTGGGAAATGGAACAGGTGGTATAAAAACGTGAAAACTGTAAGAAAAAGGGTAAAACTTGAAAATGGATTTGATTTTGTATTTCAAAATGTCATAATACAGTATTTGAGATTTCCCTGTTTCGTGAAAAATGTAAAAAATAAAATAAAATAAAAGCAATTACATCACATTAAAGCGACACGCGGCAAAACAAACCGTGAGGCCGCGCAGTGACGTCATACAAGCGAGCCCAAACATCCCTTCAAACAGGCGCCAGTTAGCGAATTTAATGTAGTCCGCTTGCAGGAACGGGTCAAAATTTCCGCATCTACAGCAAGACGAGATTTTTGGAGTCTTCTAGCGCTCTTCTCGTTGTAATAAGTTGAACAATTTCCCCAAACTTTGCCGACGGCCGCACGACAAAACGCCGGTCAATCCAGCTACTAGCGTATCTGTACGCGAATTAAGCTAGTTGTCTGTTTTTTTTGGGGGTGTCTCGCTTTGGATGAGCATCTTCACTCCTTGTCAGCCACAAAATGGACCGCCGCGGTACGCCACTTAAATCTTCAGGTAGTCATTCCTTCACTTGATTACGGTTAGTTTTCGTTGTAGCTTGCGTGTGCGTGGAAAAGTGGTATTACGTTACATTAGCAACGGGCAGTGCACGCATTGTAATAATATATATTCCACATCATTTTGTCATTGCCAACCCAGACTATTTAAATGAATATTACACACTCAATACAGATACTTGCAGTGTTGGGCAAACTACTTGAAAAATGTAGTGAGCTACGCTGCAAGTTAGTGATTGAAAATACCCCAAAGAAAGACAACCATACCACCAAAACATCCATCCAACCATTTTTATTTGGGCTTGGTCCTTATAAACGAATGTGCCTTTCAGTGGCGCTTCCAGTTCCTCTGTGTCTCTGTTACAACTTGCTGATGACACTCTGAGAACATCCTGTTTCAGTGCTGTCAATCAATTGTTAGGCGTTGCCTTGGTGTCAGTGATCTCAAAAAAGTGAACAGTGCAATGAGAAGGTCTGTTTTAAATGCTGATTCTGAATAAGATAGGACATATACCGACCGGTTCAGTCTTGGATCAAATGGCTGTTGTGTATTTTTCTCAGCAGCTCCTAGTCAGAGAAGAGCAAGAGTTTAAATGGTCAAATTCGGTTGACTTGTCAAGGCTATTGTGCATGAGGGTCTTCCTGAATTTTAAGACCAAAGCAAAATCCTCGGTTTTGGAGATAGCTTTTTGCGAGTACTGCAGTAAACGGCTGTTGTTGTTGAATTATTTGAATTACAGTATTGGTTAATCATTTCAGCTCGAGAGAAATGTAAAATCACGTTTTTTTAATCACTTCTTCTAAAGTTACTGCTTATTTTCCTGGGCCGTGCTGGACATTGTGATAAATGTTGCACCGCAGGCAAGGACAACTCCAGCTCCGACGACGATGTTCCGCTCTCGGACCTTGTGGTGAGGCGACCAAAAAAGGAGAAGCAGTCCACTGAGGACACGCACAGCTCCAACGCCGAAGACAAGAGCGGTGAGGGCGTTGGGTTGTTTGTATCTCCTTCGTTGTCGCATTCTGACCAAATTTTGATTTCTTGCCAGATGATGAGCCACTGATCAAGCTGAAGGCCAAGAACAAGGAAAATAGATCATCCCCAATTCATGGCCAAAAACCCAAGAAAGCAGGTTAGACAAGCTGCTGATTGCATTTTTTTTATTTATTGCTTGAAACGTTTTCCTCCTTGTGATCCTAAAAGGGGATGACAGCTCCGACAATGGTCCTCTGATGAAAGCCAAAGCAGCAACCAAAGCTGGCAAGAAGTTCACACCGCCACCCAAGAAATCTGCTCAGCCAAAGAAGAAAAAAGGTAATCAACTTCAGTGAACTGAAACAATGGCAAACATTCACCTGCCTGCCTCTTGGACTTCGATTGGAATCTCCCATATTGGAAAACAGCTTACTCTTCCCCCTTTAAAAAAAAAAAAAAAATCCTTGTACAGATGTTCCAGATGAGGACGCGAGTTCGGACGACGAGCCTCTGAGCGTAATCGCCAAGAAGCTGAAGCCGCAGCAGAAAGAAAATCTGCCCGCGAGCACCTCCGCACAATCCACCGAGGCCACCTCCAAAAGAAACGCTGCCAAGAAAAGAGGCGAGTGTCACAAGATAGAAATGGGATTTTGAAAAGTTTCATTTGCTAGCTGTAAAACAACAACACATGACTCGGTCGAGCATTCCTTCAGCACCACATTGAGAAATAAGTGAGCATATACTGGATGTTATGTATATGTAGCCAAAGTTTAGGGTGGAACGATATTGAAAAATAATCAAAAAGATTTTCTGTCAATATTTATTTAATGTGATTATTTTTTTCAAAGCCTTACTCCCATGTACTTTTCAATAAACACGAGCAATAATGGCCAGATTTATCCAAACGTTTAAAATCGGCATTAGACTATCATTCAACAAAATTTTCCCAAAGCTCACCTTGGAGATTCGCTGACATTTTTCCGACCTCTTTCCAGTCAAATACAGAGAGTCTTCCAACGAGAGCTCGGACGACGACCCGCGGGCAGCCATCATGAAGAAGAAGGCAATCGCCAGTCGGCAGCAAACGCCCTTCCTGAAAAACAGCAAGAAAACCCGAGCGAAGCGCGCAAGCAGAGCGGAGCAAGGTAAGGCTCGGAGAGAGCGGCGGTGGCGGGGAACGCGAGGCTCCATTCCGAGTGCCGACCCGTTGGATTTTAAGAGCCTGTGTCCTCAGACAACGGCTCCGACCATGACCATGACGACGACGACGACGATGACATGCCCTTGGTGAACCTCGTGAAGCAGACCAAGACTGCAGAGGACAAGAAAAAAGCAGCAAAAAAGAGTGGCGCGTCACAAGGCAGCGCTTCTAAAAAGAGGCGAGGTACAATCATGAGGATGTTTTATGGAAACACAAACTAGTAGGAGGGGGACAGGTGAGCAAGACAACCCCCTTCACAACCACCATAATTAAAGCGAGCTGGAAAAAGAAACTGGAACGTTGTTGGTCCTTGGGGTAATTTGACCAAAGCCTGTCTTGAAGAAAGCCGCAAACGTTCAAATTTGTGTCAAAATTGCGTCACTTTGTCTCCTAAGAAGCAGACCAGTCTGACGAGAGCTCGGGCGACGAGCCCCTCATCAATCTGGTGAAGAAATCCCAAGAGGAGAAGAAGGCCAAGCTGAGGAAACAGCCCGCGGCTTCCAAGAAGAGGGCGGCGACTCCCAAAGCCAGGAAGCAGACAGCAATGGCAGGTAACGTAAAGACGAGGACCGCGTGAATCAGACGACATGTGGACCCCCCCCCGCCCCCACCCACCAAAAAAAAATGTATATATATATATATATATATATTTTGTTCAGTTAAATACGAAAGGGTGAATTATTGAAAAGCAGTCACGATCTGCCTTTAATTCATACCTTTATAGTTGTTAAGAGACCTAAAAAAAATTTTTTTTTTACTAATTATGTGATTAACTGGTTTTCATCATTTTACTCTGCAAAACACTGGCATTGGCGTAAAACAAAACCAAAAAAATCTTTTCAGTTGGGCCCTACTATGTGCACCACTGGTTCTTAACACAAAAAAAGTTTCATACATGGATTCACCAAACCATAAGGGGGGAAAAAAATGGTTTTATTTTTTTCCCACCACCACGAATTCAAAACATAGGTACAGTGCACAAAATGAACCATACCCACAAAAAAAAATCCGTCTGCTCGAAGCAAGATATTTTTATTTTATTTTATTTAAAAAATTTTTGGGAGTTAACGAAACAAAAAATAGAATTGAAAAAAAAACATTTTACAAAATTGAAAAACAAAACAGAACTATAATAAAAGCGAAAATGTCCTTTGTTTTTGTCAATTAATATCACAGGTTCAGGAACGCAAGCGCCACTCTTATCGTTTTGGCAACAATGTGTGTTCCTTTTCCTCATTTTGACGTCTACCATCCCTGAAAAGGATTGCTCGCAAAGATACAAACTATGAGTACCTCGAAGGCTCATTTTGTGTGTCTCACGGTTCAGTATCGTTTTTGGATTTATCGTTATATTTATTTCATTTGGACTTTTTTAAATTCAGTTTGTTTTGATTCGTTTTGACTGGAACTTTATCTTTAGTTTTTATTATTTTCCCCAAATGTATACTTTTAATTTTTATTAGTTTTTGTGTTACTCTTAGTTTTTTTTTAAATGTGGAGTGTTTGTGATGTGCAAGATAAAAAAAAAAAAAAGGTCACTGAGTATTATGTAATAAAATAAATTAATGCAATTCTCAAATAATGAACTTTCTGATGTTCAACTTATCAGGGCAATTTTTAAAATGTTACCTGTCTGCTTATGTGTACTGCTTTCACTAACAACATGGCTGCAAACGGTGGTGCTATCTTACAAAAGGACAATCAGTGTTGCCGACTGGGCTACTCTTCCTCGCAACTATTTTTTACAATGACCTTGACATATAGCCATCTGATGTTTTCTTAGGCGCCAGTTCAGATGACGAACCCTCGATGGAAGCCGTCAAACACCCTCAAGTGACCAAAATGCTCCGCATCAGGCTGGAAAGGTGCGAAATTAAGGAAGCCGCCGCCACGGGAAGCCAAGCAGGTGAAAGCGGCCGCCTGCGAAATCATCAATCATAAAAATGTCTGCGTGAATGTTGACGTCCTTCTCACTCCTCAACTCAGAATGGCGGTTGGCCAAGGAGCCCAGCGAGAAATTAGAAGAGAGTTCCGAGTGATAGTCGGCGTCAGAAGGAACGATTCATGTTCAAACCAGTTTGTTAAAAGAATCTTTTCGGCAAGATGCTTCCTAAACAGTGTTTAATGTTGAGGACAAAAAGAAATCCCAATGTTTTATATGTGAACGCCTTGAAGGAGTCATTTTGTTGGCTCCACTTTGTTTAGTTTGGGACCAAACGCGTTTTAGTTTGGGTCCAAATGTCAGTTTCGCTTTTATGTGCACACAAGCGTTTTTTTTTGAAGTGTCATTTTGCCATTTGTGCCAATTTTGTTTTTCCCCGAGGGTGAGTTTTACTGTTTACAACTGGAAAATGTTGATGTTGCCCACTAATATCTCTGAAGCTTTTTCATTATTTAAGTGTATGTTCAGCATGTTTGAGTGAAAAATATATATTAAAACTTGTTTTTTTTTGTTACTGACCAAGTGCAATCATTGTAGAATTACATCTACACAAAGTTGAGTTGTACTATGAAATGGGAAAATATATGAAACTCTTTTCATGATGCATATTTTTTTAATCAGGGTTGTATTTTACTGTGACACACAGAAGAGTATGCAACATTTTACAATGACATCTCTAATGTGGCCATATGAGTCAAACATTTTTAATAAGTACTAAATACAAATTAATATCTCTCAGATAGTAATAGTTATGTATTTACATGATAGCTTACGTAAAGGTGTGACACGAAATCGCCAAACGCATGGGCAGTTTTAAAACACATTGCCCTTTGCGCATGCGTACGTTGACCGCCGACATGCACACGTGATCAAACGTGCACGCGCACAATTGTTGACACTTCCACAACTTCCGGGTTGTTGCCCGCTGCCAGTTACATTATTTCTTGTTTAGAATCGTCGCGTTACTTCTATTATGAGGCATTAACATTAACAAACAGAAATATGGTGGATTAAGAATGAACATATTTTTGAGAGAGCGGCACGTTTCTCTGTCGTTCTGGGTTGACCGGTGTTACCTAAACCACCTGCTAAAGGTAGAACTAGTTGGTAACTAGTTAGCATGTTGCCTTTGCAGAACGCCAGATGATAATATTATAGGTAATTTTAAAATAGATATATTTGTCCTCGCCATGACCGGGTTGCGATGTCGGACGTCGGATACTTTCGAGGTGGCCAAAGAAGAGGAGGAAGAACCCCGAAGGGCCGGTAGGTAAAATTGGCTTGAAACTAACACAGCAAAGCATGTCGTTGTTTACTGTTAGGATCGCCTCACCGGTCTTTTTTCCTCCAACGTTACTGGATGGGCAAGTAGAGGATGAAGAGGCTGAAGAGAACCAACCGAAAGTAGGCGAGCAGGAGGAACTCTGTGAGCAGAAAGTGGAGGATTCAAACAAACAAGAGTCGACGGACAGAGCACCCAAACGTCCTTCTGCGTGTAAGTAATTGAGTCATAACTTTGAAAAAAAATATGACCATTGTTTACAACTATTGCCATTTATGCAAACAATGTTAGCAAGCCAGCTACTTGTTTGCTGAGTTGGTTTTACGCAGGGATGTGGTGACAGTTGGGAAATTCAGGACAAGCCTGGAACGGCCAGACATTCCAGGGCGACATTGCCCAGGATTTCGTTTTTTTTTTTTTAAATTTTTTGGGTAGGGTGTGTAAGATACTGCTGAGGTAGGATCCAGCAAAACGACAGGTAGGGACGGTGGAAAAATGGCGAAATATTAGACTAGTGTTTCTTATGCAAATGATTTGCTGACACTTTTTCAATTCGTGGTAATTATTAGATAGATAGATAGATATCCTTTATTTGTCCCACACTGGGGAAATTTACAGCCTTCAGCAGCAAGATTGTGGGTAGAAAGAAGAGAAAAGAAAACACAGTTCAATTAAGTGCAATATAAAGCCATCAAGAGGGAGATGGCGCACCGGTTCATCATGTTCTCTGAGGGTGGTAGCAGAGACGGGGCGATGGGGAATTCTGGCCCCGCTGAGCTTCCAAGCCCAGGGTGAACTGGCACACCTATACATTCTGAGTACCGTCTGTAAGGACTTTAGTACTTAGTTATTGCATGACTGATTATTTTTGTTGCTCACCATCATTAAATAACTTTGTGATTACTGTGTACTTTAGGCAAATAGGGAGCATTTAGATTTTGTTTGATGTATGGAACAAATGAGTTGGATTACTCTGACATAAAAAAAAAAAACAAGTCTTCAAAGTGCTGTCTGCACTCCACAGCGCAATAAGACCTATAAATATGTCACGCGTAGGCGGTTGTAGTGGTTTTTCTTGACGTATTTATACGTCATGGGGAATAAAAGAGTCAAGAACATAATTCGTAATGCATTCTGATTATTGTCGCAAGATCATCGGTGAAGGTCAGCAGAATCAACATTTTTACATAAATATACCTGAAGTTTCAAAATCTTCCACACATCAGTTACATGGTACCAACTTGTGTGCACATTTCTCTGCAGTGAATGCTGTTCAGCGTGTGCTCAGGGTCTTGTTTGGATGCTTGGCGGCAGTGGCGTGCGGCACGCTGTACGCTGCCTACCTCTCGGCATTTCACGAGAGGAAGTTCTGGTTCTCCATGAGGCAGGTGGGTTCCGCAGAAGCCATGCCTCTAGAACACAGGTGTCAAAGTCAAGGCCCGGGGTCCAGATCTGGCCAGCCACACCTTTTTATGTGGCCCGCGAAAGCAAATCAAACATGGCAACATCCATGAGGCTTGCTAAAATATGGACCAAAATTTCAAATTCTCATATGTAATAAATAAGAAAGATATTGCCAACATTTTCTTGTTGCCAAACACCCCATTACATTAACCAAAACAATAGTTATTCTTGACTTCTTTATATGATTTCCAGTCATAATGGCCCTCCAACGGAAATAGTAACAAAAATGTGGCCCGCGACGAAAATGGGTTTGACACCCCTGCTCTAGAATGTACACAGTCATGCACCTATGTTACATAAACACTGTATTTAATCGTTAAATTACTCAACACAAACAAACATAACGAGGGGTAAGACTAGATACGTCTTTTACTTCTTCCTACTACTTTGAACATATAATTGTGCTGTATGATGACTGTTTTCCTTTCTTACAATTTTACTTTCTGTCAATTTATTATTACTCAACACAAACAAACATAACAAGGGGTAAGACTAGATAAGTTTTTTCACTTCTTCCTACTACTTTGAACATATAATTGTGCTGTATGATGACTGTTTTCCTTTCTTACAATTTTACTTTCTGTCAATTTATTACTGTATTGTATATTTTATATGTTCAATAAACAAACAAACAAAAAACACTTTCACATCAGGCTAAGCTAACGTAGTAGCAGTTAGCTTGCTAGCTCTTGGCAGCATCAATACTTTGTGTGAGTTGTTTTTGTGTCTTAGGAAGTGGAGCGGGAACTCACCTTCCAAGGTGGCAGCGCCATCTACTACTACTACTACAAACACATGGTGGCGGCGACGTCTTTCAATAGAGGTGCATCTTTTTTCTTTTTTTTTTTTTTCCCCCCATGGCCTGTTTGGGAAAACCAAGAATGTCACCACGCGTGTGCCGCAGCATTCTACGAGCTGACGAAGGACGACAGGACCCTGGCGGGACAAACCATCAACGCCGTGGAGCGTCTGTCTCTGTATCCTGAAGTCGTCACCAGCTACATTTACAGAGTCTCGGGCAGTCAGGTCAGCCTTCAAAGGGGGACGTTTTTGTGGAAACGTGGACAAAGTCAAAGTAGTGGAACTTGAATATGACTGTCCCAGCAGGATATGGTGGAACCCGTCTACTTTTACGTGGGCACGGTGTTGGCGCTTCAGGCGGTGTACGCTACGGCGCTGTTCGCCTGCAGCTGGCTGATGAGTGGCACCTGGGTGGCCGGCATGCTGACGGTGGCCTGGTACGTCATCAGCAGGTCAGTCCTGGACGAACGGCGTCATGTCACAGACTTTGAACAGGGGTCTTGGTTGATGAAGTCCTGTCCGTCCCGTTCTCCGTCGCAGACCTGACGCCACCAAAGTGGAGCAGGCGCTTCCTCTGCGAGAGAATTGGGCTTTGCCGTACTATGCCTGTCAGGTGGCGGCTCTCACCGGATTCCTGTCGAATAACGTTGGCTTGGCTGGTGAGGTGAGTTTTAAAGTTTGTTTTTTTTTTTCAACAGTTTGACACCTTTAAGTCGATTCATCATTATTTTATTTATTAGTTTTTTTTTTGTTTTTTTTTTGGCGGAGTTTTGCTCGGACTCCCAATTATTTGGTTTCTTAGACGCACTTTGCTGAACATTTTGGTTGAAACTCTGAATCCTTCGTCTTTCAAGTCTCATTTTCATATAAATCACAGGTGTCAAAGTCAAGGCCCGGGGGCCAGATCCGGCCCACCACACCATTTTATGTGGGCCGCGGGAGCAAATCACATGTGTCAACTTTCATGATCCTTGCTGAAATCTGTACCAAAATGTCAAATCGTCATGGGTAATAAATAACGCTGAGATTTTGCATCGGCCCTCCGAGAGAAGCCGTAAATCCGAAGTGGCCTGGGAAAAAAAATGAGTTTGACACAATTTCAGCACTTTTTTTTTCCAAATATTTTTTTTTCATTTTACTTTCGAGGCCTGTTTTTGTCCAACCTTGTGGTTGAACTCCAAATTGTTCAACTTTTACTCCGTTTGGAGTTTTCCCTCAAATGAAAGGTGCGACTTTTGCTTCCAGCTATTATGCTATCTCACCTTGAGCGCCACCACGTTCACCTTCCTGCTTGTGTGGGAGCACAGCCACTATGTGCTCTTCGTCCAAGCCTTGTGCCTTTTCCTTATGGACTCCTTGGACCTGGTGCCGCCTCGAAAGGTACGCCGTGTCGTCTTCCTCCTGCTTGTTTGACAACAAAAAAACAACAACAACACAACACAACAATTCTTGCCGCAGCTCTCTGACATCCACAAGTTGTACGTCAGCTCCTTGCTACTGGCCTCCTTCTTCCATTTTCACAACACGGCACCCCTGGTCTCACCGCTGCTCAGCCTCCTGATCGGCTCCGGGCTGGCGAGGTACTCCACCCAGGTAGCGTCCTGGTGTCCCATCGGAAACACCCTCATGTCGTCGAACCTTCTCAGCAGGGGTTTCCAGATGAAGAAGGGCCCCCTGGTGGCCAGAGTCATGAAACTTTGCTTTCATTTCCACCTGGTCTTCTCCACGAGCATCACCGTCAACTATTTAATCAAGGTGCATAGATTGTTTTCATGGAGTTTAAGTGCACGATCAAACCTTAATCAAGTGTTGTCTGTTGCGCTGTTTCTGAAGAAAAAAATAAATAAATAAATTCTGTACTTGCAGAAAGTCGTGCCTGTAAGTAAAGGTGAATTCATACTGAAGTTCTTGGAGATGAAGTTTGGGCTCAATACGACAAAGTAAGGCACGAAGACTGTTTTTTTTTTTTTTAATTTAAAAATGTTAATTCCATTTCTAGTCATATCAAAATTACAATTTGTATTCATCTTTATTTTCATTGAATTTATTGAACTGCCTTATGTTTTTGAGTGCAAAAAAAATCTTTTCCACCAATTCTGTTTTATTTTTTGTTGATTCTTTGAGTGATTTTTGAGAAATTTTTTTTTTTTTTTTTTTTTTTTACTTGTAGGGTTAACTTTGTTGTTGGTATTTTTTTCTTCCATTATTATTTACAATTACTCTTAAGGTTGTTATTCATTTTGTTGCAATTTGTATGACTTGTTTTCTTTTTATGATTGCAGTAAAATTTTGTGACAACATATTGTAATTGCACTGCATTGGTTGCGTTGCAGCGATTTTGTGAGCAACTTGCTGGTGTGCCAAGAGAGTCTTCAGTCTCCCGGTCAGGATTTGTACCTTCGCCTCACTCAGTCGTCCATCCTGCCTTTCTACCTGCTCGTGCTCGCCGTTTGCGTGGTGTCCGCGCTGCAGGCCGTTTACACCAGACTCAGGTTTCACCGCATCTCGCCTTATCTCTTATCATCTCGTCTCGGACACGTTTCCTTTTTTTTTTCCCCCCCTCAGTGGTCAACCGACGCAGAATAATGAGCGGCGGCCGCAGGACGGATACGTGGGGGAGCGTCCCGAGGTCGTCTACCACGTCTTTCACACGCTGATTTTCGGTAGCCTGACGCTGCTCTTCGACGGGTAGGACGAAGACGCCTCTTGCAGGTTGTTAGATGTGCACTGGTTGGTTCATATGCAGTTTTCATCCTTGCGAAGGATGAAATACTTCTGGACGCCGTACGTGTGCGCGTTTGCGGCGTTTGGCGTGTGCTCACCGGATCTCTGGATGACCGTCTTTAGGTGGCTAAGGGTCAAGTCTGTCCACCCTGTTGTACTGGTGAGAGGCCTTCAGGCTACCACATGGAAACATTGACAAATACGTTACACAGCAGTCGTGTTTTGTTGTGACGTTTTGATTTTCTGCAGTTTTTGGTTGAACTCTAAATTGTTTGACTTTGGAGGCCTGTTTTTTTCAGCATATTTTGATGATCGCAAAAGGTTACAATGATTCAGGATTTTCTTTGATTTTTGTTTTGTGACAGCAGTATACCTGTTTAATTCTTTTTTTCAGTGAATGTAACAGTTTATGGACTAAATATTTCTTTAATGGACTAAATATTTCCTTGGGGTGTTCCGGATACAGCTTTTTCAATTCCGATATGATACCAATATTGCAGGAAGGGTGCATACTTTTATTTCTTTATGAGTGTGAAAAGTTAGAAGAGACTAGATCCAGTGATGCGATTCAAACAAAGAATGGGCAACAACAGCGGGTATCAGAAAATATGACCCATTTATTTCAAACCTTCGGGCTGCATAAATTCAATCTCAAACATGAGAATGCACTGCACTTAAATACAAAATACATTTAAGGACCCTGACAAACAACGCCAATAAAGTTAAAAAAAAACGTACTTTTTGAAGTTTGGAGATTGTGGATGTAGACCGATGTAATCCGAAATCAATATCGGATCGGGACACCACTAATGTTTATGGAACAAACGTTTAACATTTCGAACCTACATTTAAAAAAAAAAAAAACAAACAAACAAACAAAAAAAAACCTTTTCAGTTTATTGTCTTTTTCAATTTTTTGTTGCTCTTTGGCAATTTTTAAATAAAATGTTTTTCATATATATATATATATATATATACAATTTTTTAAACTATAACTGAACAGAATAAATGACACACTTCGTGTAGTGCCTGAATGGGTTAATTTCTTACATTAGTTTACAAAATAATAACACAATAACATTATCAGTAATAATAATAGTAATGACAATGCAATTGTTTTTATCGTTGCCGCCTTGCAGTCGTTAATCCTGAGCATCGCCGTTCCGACGATCATCGGCTTCAGCTTGTGGCGTGAGGTAAGACTTTGACCCAAATATGAATAATAATAATAATAGGAAGAACATTTCCATTTTATTCTCCGTCCTCCGCAGTACGGCCACCGCATCCTGACTGACCTGTCCGAGCTTGGGGAGTTTTACGACCCAGACACAGCCAAATTGATCGGCTGGATCCGGTGAGTCTTCCTTCAGGTGAGCTTTTGAACAATGTGCTCATCATCCCTTCCTCGTAGGACTCACCTTCCAGCAGCGACTGTGTTTGCGGGCAGCCCTCAGCTCCTGGGAGCCATCAAGTGTGGCTCCGACGCCGCCGTCACCAGTTTGCCGCTGCACTCGGATCTAGACATGCTGAGGTGGAGTGAAGACGTGAGTTAGTTATACTTGAAGAATGTCTATAGCGCTGAAAGTTTGATCTTCTGCAAAAAAAAAAAAAATAATCCAAAACAAAACATTTTACTCCATCTTACTAAGGAGTGGTGATCGTCTCCATGTATGTACTATTCTGCCATCTGCTGGACAAAGCGCATACTTCCAGAAGGAGCAGCAAAATGTCCATAGAATTGAAGCAAAAATGTGGCAGAAAATATTTGAATCATTTCCATTGTATTCGATGCATTGCAGACCTACCAGGTATACTCTATGCGCTCCGCCGAAGAGGTCTACAAGATCCTGACCTCCCGCAAGGCAAACTATGTGATCGTGGAGGAGTCTCTGTGCAACAATTTCAACCTGGACCAGGGCTGCCGCATCAAGGACCTGCTGGACGTCGCCAACGGACATGTAAGTATTGCGCAGATGCTCTGCTTTCGTCTCAGATACAACCCTCGACCTCTCCGTGGCACCCCCCCCCCCCCCCCCCCCCCAGGTAATTCAGGACAATGGCAAGATGTACGCCTTCTCCAGACACCGCCGTTTCTGCCACGAAATCAAAACCAACCTCTCGCCATACACCAACTACTTCACCCGCGTCTTCTGGAACCGCTCCTACCACGTCTACAGAATCAACACGGTCATTTCGTTCCAGTATTAACGGGAAACGGCAGGACTTGAGGTTTTTTTTTTTGTTCTAGTTTGCACTTTGTCCTCACTGGTAAGACAATTCGTGCACTAATAGAATGACAGTCTTACTCGTAATGTTCAAGTGGATTTCCAAAGAAGCGGATCTTTGTGTACTGAAATATGCCATAATGCTGTTTGTCCTAAAAATGTACTCTCTTTGACTGACCACACACACACACACACACACAAACACACACCAGTCGGAGTGAGAACATTGTTGTACTGTAATTTATAAAAATGTGCATTTACTGTTACTGTCTGCTGAAACTCATTGGAGTTCCTGGGATGCCAATATTGTCTCAGGCCATACAGTAATCGTGTTCACGCAACGTGAATATGATGATTTTTGCTGCATCTTTTGGTAAAGAAACAACTCTTTGTTGCATTAGTAGTGCCTCAATAAAGTGAATCTGTGTGTTTTGGGGGGGGGGTGTTTTTTTTTTGTTTTTTGTTTTTCCTCATGCATCTCTCGTTTCTCGTACCTTGTTGGGAAAAGCTTTTGTTCAACCATTTTTTTGTATCTGCTTTTTGTCCTTTCCACGTCTTCAAGCTTTTGTCCAAATAAAATTACTTTTTTTTGTTTGAGCTAGTGTGACAATTTTGAGGGTTTTAAGACGATTATTTGTATTTACAAACTGCATTCGTCCTGTGAGGAAAATATAAAATTACACAAACCCTTGTACTAATGTAACCCAAACAGTACAAAGATTTCAACAAATTTCAATCAAACAAGATTAAGATATTACGTGTTTGTATATGGGAATAGCTAGTTATGCACCAGTAATGTTTGTACACGTAGTTCAAAATTGGTAATACGGTACATTATAAACACTGATATTTTATGACATTTTACACATTGAAAAAGGAATTAAAGACATTAAACATGCCTGTATGATGTTACAAAAATATCAATCACATGTAAATAATAGTATAGTTAAAAATTAATATTGTACTTAAGTTTGAGTTCGGGGGCACTATAAAGATGCGCCAAATGCGGCGCAGTATGATTCTTCCCGAAGACGAACCGGAACCGGAAAGCGAAGCGACGCAATGGCGATGCTCAGAATCAATTACGTGAGAAACAGCAGTCAACCTCCCCCAAATTCAGGCCCTTGTTGAGCTTATTTGCAGTTGCTATGTTATCATAATTAATTGTTAACGCACTAAGGTAAGATTATTCACTTTCCGGTTAGCGCGGCGGCGCCCTAAAGTTTGTCAGCTCGGGAGAAAATGAACCGTAAATAAAACAAAACAGAGTCCGAAGGGGTGCGCTTGATTCCTAGCAGCGGTTGCGGCATACTCACCATTGCACCTCGATTCTTGACAAACAGAACCCCTGTAGCTTGGGCTGCCCCAGACGTTATAACAAACTAGCTTGCTGGCTATAGGAATACACTCGGAATAGTACCATGTCCACGATTTATAAAAACAAATTTTGTACTGGAAATGCGTTTCTTACACATAAATGTGCTATTATAGTTGAATTAGAGCTTTTTTGACTATGTTTGGGAACCATGGGACAGCCCCAAAACTTGCTATTACATTCAGGGAATTCCTTTGCTCGAATTGAGGTGGCGTTGGTGCTGGCTCAAACAAACCCTTAAATGTCAAGTATTTCATTTTAGTTTTGCACACCTCCTTTAATCAAACATTGACTTGTGTTCACCAGGGGAGGATGAGTGCGGAAGCGGCCGACCGGGTCGCCGCCGTGACGAGCAGCAGGCCCGGCACGCCGCTCCAGACATCCTGGTTTGAGTTCCTCCTGGATGCATCCCTGCTGGAGAAACACCTGCAGAACTCCAATCCCGGTGAGAGCTCAGCGTAACAACAATCTTCAGATGACACATTGTCCCAACGCGTCAGTGATGAGACTTTTGCGTCTTCTCAGACCCAACGGGGGTGCAGCTCGTTATCCAGTTCCTCGAGCAGGCCTCCAAGCCGTTGGTGAACGAACAGAATCAGGTGCAGCCTCCTGCCGACAACCGCAGGAACCGCACCTTGAAGCTGCTGGCACTCAAAGTGGCAGCGTACATGAAATGGGATCTGGATGCGTTGGAGAAAGGGTGCGCTCCAAAATTTTTTGTGCCACATTTAACGCTTCACTCTAATGTACATTGTGCTGTTCTTTCTGGTATAAGCGCCTTGGCCACCTGGGGGTAGAATAATACACACAAAGAAATACATGAAAAATAAAAAAATAAATAAATACAAATATATTGTCTGCTTGTCAGTTTGACCATCCCCGTGTTGAACATGCTGCTCAATGAATTGCTGTGCGTGAGCAAAGTGCCGGCGGGCGTCAAACACGTGGACCTGGATCTGTCCACCCTGCCGCCCACCACAGCCATGGCCGTCCTCATCTACAACCGCTGGTCAGACCAAAAGAAAAATGACATTTCAAATCAGACAGCGAAGGAATACCATAATGAAAAAATTTGCTTCACAGGGCCATCAGAACCATTGTGCTGAGCAGCTTTCCAGAGAAACAGAACAAACCGGGGCCACACCAGATGAACATGCAAGTGTTCTCTCTCAATGGGTAAATTTCATCCGCAACAAAATTTCAAACCGATTTCAATGTGTATGTGCAGGTTGAGTGTTGTGCAGCAGGAAAAAGAGATGACAGACAACATCCTAAGCGTGGTGTGTAAACGTCAAATGGCAAAACCTTACGGGGTTCTCAACGAATTCTATTCGCCATATCAATGCCATTTTGTGTGTCCAGTTAAAGGAGCAGGCCAGCGACTCGATCACTGTCCTGGTGGGGGCGCTACGTCTGAAGAAGGATTTCTACGTGCACACCATGAGGACTCTGGACCTGCTGGCCGCCGACACGGCTGCCGCCAACGGCGAGACCGAGTCCTCCACGGCGGGACTTCGCATCAGCGCCAACGAGCTGCACTGCCAGGTGGGCTCGAACGCAGTGGTCGCCAACCCGTATTGAACCATTAGTTGGGCATCACAGCTTTTAACTGGCTCCGCCTTCTGGTCTTTTTAGGTTCACTATGACTTGGGTGCCATTTTCTTCCAGCAAGGCTGCACGGACCAGCCAACCTTTGAGAAAGCCAGAGACCATTTTAGGCAGACCAAGGAGCTCTTGAAGAAGGTATAACCTCACTCCCATTAGGCCCCTAACCGTGTCTAATTTCCTGTCATTTCTTCTAAGCTGGACTCCACGGTGCACGTCCACCTGGATGAGAAGCGCCTGGCTGGCTACTGGAACGCCTGCAAAGCTCTGACCGGAGACTATGACTCGTGTGACTCTCAGACCACACACTACGACCAGATCAACGGGCTGCTCGGCGCCCGCAACTACCAGGTGAGCACTAAATCAAGTTCTGCTGTTCTAGTAGGCTTTTTAGATCCTCACCTGGACCCCCAGTTGTGTTTTATGGCCCCTCATTTTATTTTTGAGGGGGGGAAAAATACAACCTAACTTTGTATGGCGAGAGTTGGCTTGAGTCACAGTACCTGTTTCAGACCGTGGTGGAAGCGTTCATCAAAGACAACGTCAGCCGCGCTTTGCCCAAGGACTTCAGACGCTCTGTTCTCAGGGAGGTCTTGTACAAGGCCCAGCAAGGGTGAGAGGAAACGTCCCGCGTTTATCCCGCACGTACCCAGATTGGTCGCAGTTAGAGTTGCGAAACCGTTTCCCGCAGGGAGACGGGCCTGGATGAGGTGTGCCACCAGTTGTGCGTGTGCAACGCCGTGCGCGACGCCCTGGAGGGGGAAGTGCTCGGCGTGCGCTTCCAGCAGCTGCTCATGAAGCCCAGCAAGCGCCTGGTGGACTTTATTTTAGAGGTAATCGCCATTTTGTGAAAGACAGCGGTAGGAAAAGTTACCAGCTCGATTCTAGTTCCAATAGTTGTCAGTATTACATTTACAGCGTTATTTCCAGATGACAAGTTTTATTGTGTGCATATTCAAACGCTGGACTAAGTGGCTATGTCGCAGGTTGCAATACCGGACAGTAGTTTTCAGCATCCTCCCACGTCGCACAAAATGACTTCTTCCGAGCGTGACGCAAAATAAATGAATTGTACGGGTGTACCTAATGATTTGACTTGAATCCATCCATCTTGCAGGTGTGCACCCAGTCCCTGGAAAGGGAGCGTTCGTCCGAAGCATCCAGACGGAACATGGCTACCTTCATGCAGTGAGTCCCGTAAACGCTCAACATTATGTTCAGTTTTCCCGTGTCCCAGCGTTTCTCGTGCCCGCCCCGACAGCACGCTCTGCGAAAGCCTGCAGGAACTGTCCCTGGTTTTCGTGGTGTCCTCTCACAAACTCTTCACCGAGCTCCTGAAGGAGGAGGAGAGGAAGCTGCTGGTGGAGCAGATGCGGAAGCGCTCGGCCGCCGTCAAACTCAGCGCCAAGCCGCTGCCCTCTTTTTACGACAGCCCGGGTAAGCGCCGCGCCCTCTGTCGCAAGAACGCCGCGCGGCCGTGTCGCTGACGGCCTCGTTATTTACTGCGCAGCGTCGGCCAGCGTGAGCGTCGGACAGCTGGAGCAGCAGCTCATCCTCTCCTTGGACCCGCGAAAGATCAGGCAGATCCTCAACGAGCTCCATGACATTGCAGACAGACCGTTCTGGAGAATCAATAGCAAGGTTGGCGCTGTACACGAGTGATGCGTTCAAAGACACTGGGGGGAAAAAAAATAAAAATGGCTTTCACAAGCTGGATTTCCTCTTTTGTTAGTGGGAAGTTCCACCAGACTACATCAATGTGATCCTGGCCATCAAAGACAACCTGACGAAAGACCAGGTCTACATCCTCATGGCAAAAGGCCTCCACTGCATAGCCATAAGGGTAAGGATGATGTCATCGTGATGACATAACTGTCTCGTCGCCACGTAGAGAGCAGTTCACTTCGTGGCGGCGCAGTTTGTCAATCCTGATATGTTAACAGCGCGACATTTTGACACAAGATTTTGCCGCATGACAACAGAAGGTGACGTCATATCGCGCGTGACATCGTGACACGCCGCGCTACAGTGGCGTGACGTTAGCCTGCCGTTGCTGCGACTCGTAGTGGCGTGACATCACTGCATCGTCCCCTTCCAGGACTTCCTGCACGCGCGGCAGCTGTTCTCGGCCTGCCTGGAGCTGGTGACGGAGTTCTCGCCGCGCCTGCGTCAGGTGATGCTCAACGAGCTGCTGCTGATGGAGGTGCGAGCCCACGAGACGGCGGCGGCCGACGGCTGCAAGGAGAGGCCGCCGCCCGACCTCGTCAGCCGAGTGCGCGGATACCTGGAGATGAGGATACGCGGCGAGTTTTGCCACCGCCGAGCCTCCGGCAGGTCGGGATTGTGACACCGTGACACCATTTTTTTTTTTTTTTTTTCTGTGTGCACAGATCTTCCTCTGCGGCAGGTGGTTGGCGAGGAGTGCGTGGCCTTCATGTTGAACTGGAGGGAGAACGACTACTTGACGCTACAGGTGCCGCCCTCGGCTGTTATCAACAACCCTTACGTCAAGGTGACGCCACATTTTCAGTATGAGTGCTTCAACGT